ATTCCATTAAGACACAAAAAACTCCTGACAGCAACTTCTGAGCACATCCTATTTTTCTTTCCTCCTCAGAACTGTGGTAGAAAAACAGTTTATTGATTTCTGCTAAGAAATCAAATGTTGTTATAACTCTGAAGGGTGTCCAGTTACAGAGAAAATCGGTGGTAATCGGAAGCTTCGTGCAGACCTCGCATGACCCTGCTCATTCCAGCACAGAAAACTGTTTTTGTCTCACTTCGAAAGAAACCAGACAAACCCTGCGAGGTTACTTATAATCCTGACACCACTCTCAGATTTGCCATATGCTGGGAACATGCCTTCTTGCCTATTTACAGTATATAGCTGAAGGACTTTGTTACAGCCCTGATATTTGGCATATCTTAAGCCTATTTAGAACATCAACACCATCAATCACTTGGTATGGGGCCGAGCAGCTGGATGAACCTTGGCTATCATGTGAAGGCTATTTGTCATCTGGGCAAGTCTGTTTGGCGCATAACGCTCCAGTCCCAGAACAATTTTCCCTCTGAAAAATATTCTCTTTGATTCAGGAAGCACGTGATTAATAACAAACAAGGGTTTAAAGATGGAGGTCAAGGCTGAAACCTTAACCAAACAAGTGCATTGCTTATTAATGTTTGCCTCAGTCTTCAGATATTCCCTTGAAGAGCACCCTTGGTGGAGAAACACAAAACTGTTTCTAAATAACTTGAGATTTGAGAGATCTGCCTGGCCATTGCCACCACAGATGTTTTTCTCAACTGTGACAATGCTGTTTGTTCAAACTGGTAGCCAGACAAGAAATCACTAGCAGGAACCCACATTTAGGATGAACTGTGCACACATTACATTCTCATTGAGACAAGTAATACTCAGCATGTCTGACATTTAGGCAATTAGTCCTTTCTTTAAAATAAGAAATATTAGCTGACATATCTTAACCATCTGTGTGAGCCAAAATAAGAGCAAGGGAGTTTACATAAACAGTCTTAGCATGTTTAACAAGCATGTAGCTAATGATTTAATTTTTTAATCCTCAACAATAGAGACTACTGGATATAAGCAAGTGCTGCATCATTTATGCCTGTGCTGTTAATGAAAGACTAGTAATTAGTGGGTGACTAAACTTCAAAAGAACATGTTGCTTCAATACATGTTGTAAAAGACAGATTCTCCCCAGCCATCTGCAGAGCCAGAAGGAAAATGGAAGAGAAAAATATTTTGAAAGTTTGCCTTATCAATTGAAGTATTTTGTTCATATCTTCAGCACCACTTTTTAACCTCTCTTCACCACTTGTGATGTTTCCCCATCTTTCCTGTATTTGTTAGTTACCTAATCTGGTTTAGAATGTAAATAGAGAAGTTTTGTGTCACTATTTTTATAAACAGATTCCAACATCACACAGTGTAGTCTAACATCTGAGTCACTGTGAGGTTTGCTGGGTACAAGGCATAGGCAATGCTTGTGCTTACAGGGATGACCCTGTTAAGCAGTTGACAATGCATTCAACAACCAAATTTGTTAGCACTCATTGTTACTGAAGCAGGGTGAGTGACCTTGTCATATTTAACAGTTCTGAGCAGACACAGCAGTGGAGATCCTGAGGGCAAAACCAGAATTTCCATTAGTGATGTAACAATATACTGACATAATTAACCCCTTTTCCACTTCCAATGGCTTGAATAACTGCATAGTCCAGCTGGCAAACTCCTGATGCCTGGAACTTGTACAGCCAGGATTTATACAAACAAAAACCAAAACAGAAGTTGTAAGCAGTCTGTCTTGTTTCCGAACAAGTGCAGCATTCAGAGGGGAGTGTGGCTTTAGCCTGAGAACGATCATGCTAGCATGGATGCCACCACCTCCATCTTCCAGCACTGCTAGAACAGCAGCAGCAGACATAAAGGGTACAAGTAATGGCAAGAAGCAACCCAAGGATTTGGCAAAAAATGCTCATTTCAAACCGCTTTTCAAATGGAGCTGAAAACCCTAGGGACTGAAGAGTGAAATATCTTGTTTACAGTTAAATTCCTGATCCACGTAACTAAGCAACACAGCACTGTGGCTCCATAAAATGGAAGCAAAGTTAATTTTTTAACAATGCCACATTACCTTTGTACATCTTGTTCCTGCTCTCCCTCAGGGTCTTACATGAATGAATCAGAAAATTGCTCCCTTATGTTAGGCTTGTGTCTGCACCTGCATTAAATTCATGTCAGAGAGGGGTGGAGGAGGCAAACGTTGGGAGCACCAATAGCATGGTACTCCTGGATTTCAACTCACAGCCTGTCCAACATGACAATTGCCTTTAATAGCTGTTCAAGGCACTACAAGAAATGAGCCTTGCACCAGTGGTGGTCCCTTCAGACAAAAAAAAAAAAAAAGAAAAAGAAAAAGAAAGAAGAATAAAACCAATCTGGGATCTTGTTTAGTTTAACTTCTGTCTCCCATATGGCTGGTCATCTCCCTGCAAGTAGTCAGGGAAGCAGAGTCCGTGCAAAGAAGAATTAATTATGTTTACAACATCTTTGTAAATAGAAGCGCTTTCTTTGCACCAGGCTAATATTTTTGATGGTTGAAACTGTAGTTTCAAGCTGCTGTATCTGGGGCCTGTGGGTGTTTCAGTGCTGGATTCCTGGACCAATGCCCGCAACCCTGGTCTGGCTTTGGGCCAAATCCAGAGCTGAAAGGGGCTGTTCTCTGGTTCTGGTTTTGGATGTCGCTTCCATGATTTTGGCACAGGCAAATCAGAATGCAAGCTCAGCCTTGAACCCCAGCATTAGGCTAAACCTAATACGAAACTTCAGCCTGCTTCACATTATTCCTGCTGGTTAATTCCAGCTGTTAAACTTCTCCCCCCACTACTGAGCCAGAGAGTATTTTGTTGACAAATTTGCCATGCATTTCAAGGAAAGCAGAACCTGGCCAAGGCTTTGGGGTTATATATTTTTTTTCCACTGCAGGAAATGGAAGTGTTGGCAAAAATATTTGCCGTTGTTTAGGATAAGAGAGTGTTTGGACATATCCAGTTTTAAGCGGTCTGCTTAGTCTGATACTCTTGATATATGAGACAGCAAAGAAATATGTCTAGGAGTCTTGGAATGAGGCATCTTTTTTTATAAGATGAGTGAAATACACACGAGGATGAAATATTACTTGCATATTACCACCAAAGCTGGTCAAAATTCACTCAATTGACTCCAGATGTGGGTTTCTTCGGCAATTTTAAAGTTAGCACTACTGTAACTAGGTGTGAGGCCAAGGCAAACTACTCTAGTGCTTTATAGCACTTGGAAGCTACAGTAGTCAAATCAAAATACGTTACAAGAGAATCAGTTTCTTTAAGCTTAACAGCAGGAAGGATTTAATATACTGAATACGGCCAACCCATCTTCATTTGAAGGAACATAAAATAAATCCTTACCACATTTGTGACTTATTATTTGCATAAAGGACCCAGTTCAAGAAGCAGACATTACTCATGCAAGTAAGGCCCTACGAGTCCTCATTACCTTTTATTTGTTTTTATTTTATTTTATTGTATTGTATTTCCATGAGATTACAACTACGCTTAAGGTGAGCATGCATCTCCATGCTCTGCTGATGTAGGTCAGTTGTCTGAATATTCAAAGCTACCTTTCAACACTTATTAAGTGCTTAATGAAAGATACTAATTCTATTTTTTCTCTTTTCTTCTGCCTGTTTATTCTCCTTGCAATTAGTCACTCTTTGTAAAAAGCTTCACCAAAGAATACACTGTAGCTCTCACCAGCAAGATGTTTGACTCATCCTACAGTGATGGCACTGAGTCTTTTAGCATCTTATTTATTCACTAACCACTTACAGTTGCACTTGCACAGAACATTTCAGTTACTGCCTTCATATATTTCTTTATTAAGCTGTGAGAGTGATCCCATCACAAAAGGTAAGGAATCTCTTCAGTGTTTTCCTAATGAACAGCCTACACTGTCCTGTGCTCCAGCCCATGTAGCTGGAGCTTGAATGGGCAATGCCCGTCGTCTGCAATGCTCAAGGCAGAGAGGGTTTCAATAGGAACAGACATTCAGATCATCTTCCATCCACTGACATCATTGTGGTGATAAAAAGACAACATTTCCCCTGAAGTTTCAACCAGTTTAGGTTTTTTCACTGCAAGGCTGAAAGAACTGTAAAGAACTTACTGAAAGAACGCTGTAAGAACTTACTCTAAAACCCCCAGGTCCTGAAGCAAAGAGGTTGCCACCTTTTCTGAGGTTGATTTTGACTGCTTTTTCATTCATTTAATACAGGAGGGCCCATGGAAATATGACCCCATGGCACCCTAAAAAATAAAAAAATGGAAGAGAAAATGATTTAAAGTAAGAACCTTGATCTGTGCAAACCAGCCTCCTGACTTTTAATGCTGGCCACACTGCAGTCATGCTAGGCTGGAATGACAGACATGCTCCACTTTTACCATGGAAAAAACTTTCCCTGACTGCAAAGGAAGAAGTAAGATTTGCCACAAAATTGCACAGCAATCTAAGTGTTTAAGACTTTCTCTAAACCACACGAAACCACCTCCTGTCTGTCTGACATTTCCAATGTGGACATTTCGCAAGGGGATAATTTTAATATATAATTTAAGGTGGTCAGGTAAGACTCTTTTACTATATGTCATACAGTAAAAGTTTAAAAATAAAACCTGAGGTCATTTAGGGGTTTTGACTGACCTCCTGTTGAAATAGTTTTATCAGAAAACTTCCTTAATATGTGTTGGTGATGTAAGGACACATCTTCAGCTGGTAAAAATCTGTTTGTAGGTCCACACATGGCATGGGGTCTCTGCCAAGACACAATAATCTCATTCAAATTTTCCCTGATGATTCTAGAACTCTTTAGTCCTTTAATAAAGCATCACTTCGATAAAAGTTTAGCAGAGATGTAAGTAGCAGAGAAAAGAAAAAAAATGACACTAAAATAGGAGAAAATATTTTATACTTAAGAACCCTTGGCATGCTACACAGTACTATTTGATTAAGTGAAGTTGTAATACAAAGACAAGGATTAATCACACAAAAGAGCAACATAATTAATTGCAAAAGCTAAGGGAGAATTTCAAGAAAGAATGCATCCTTTCATTTAGCTTACAAAAATACAATTAGTAATTATTACGGATTTCCTGGAGAAAGTCCAGAGCAGAATTAAAAATATCTTGAGTCACAGGGAAGTTCATTGGTCCATGGGGACAGACATGCTGAGCTGAGGGAAGCTTATATTTGTTCAGCAAACTTCTTGCTTTTAAAATGACCTGTGCCGAAATATGTATCAGGACATTCATGATTGGGTCTGTGCCAGGACTGGGGAACTCGTATTTTTAAATGCCCGTTATCCATTTTAAATAAAAAAGTAAATCGGATTTCTGCCTGAAAATTTTGTAAGAGCTGCTGTTACAAGTAATACTTATAGGTCATTGTAATCCAGAAAAATCATTACAAGCAATCAGAAAAGCCATGAGCAGATCAATTGTATCTAAATTATTTTAGCTCACATGGGACAAATTGATGCATTTCAGAGGAACAATATCCTTTAAAAATCTATCTACCTGGGATCATCTGATCAGCCTCTGCATTTGTTCCAGGCTTCATACACATGAATTCTGTTCAGCCACAGGCATCAAAGCAAAACTTGTAGTTGATGTTACCCATGCAAGGGGTTTGTTTCATCCCTCCTTTCCCAGGACAGAAACAGCTCCTGCACAGAAGCTGCTGCCTCTGCAGGGATGTGGGAGGATGCCACAAACACAGAATCACCACACATCTGAAACACACCCTTTTAAAGACAAAACCCTCCCACAAAATCATTTGATTCTCTATCTCCACACTTGCTTGCAGCCGTTACTTCCACAGGGTACATTCAGTGGCCCCTGGGGTCAGCAGGCAGTTTTCCAGTCGACTTTGATAGGAATTGAATCATACCATAATGACATGCCTGAGGATGACCAGCAAATCAACCAGCCTAGCATGTCAGATTCATGCAAAATGCTCAGGATGAGAAATTATTGTCTATAGAAATTAGCAGGGAAAATTAATTGATGTCAGCTAACAATCTGGTCAGGCAGTTTCCAAGTGCATGGAATATGCCTACAAAACCACACTGGTGTATACACCAACAGATTCAGATTAAAAAACCAGTTAGTCTGGAAACACCAAGTTTGCAGTGAAATGAACCCATTGCCTGGACTTTCAAGCCAAGCTGCATGTGAGTTAACTTCCAGGCATGCTTCAGACACTGTCTACTTTCAAAGGCACTCTCAGACAATTCTGTTTCTAATGTTATATCTCTATTACACTACTAAAAATGAAATCAGTGCCAAACTCGATCCTAAATTCATAGTGAAGCTTGGCCCACTGGTTACAGAGAGCTAGATTGTGGCCCTAATGTTTTGCTGCTGACTGAGAGATGCCCTCTGCTTGAAAGATGTTTGACAGGAGCAGAGGCAGCACAGACAGACGTATGTCATTGACTCCCATACAGACCAGCAGAAGGGACAGGTGCAGGGAGAAAAGGGAGCAGGAACAAATGATTTTGAAGGCTATTCCCTAATGGGAGCAATCTGAGGAACCATTCTAGCCTACCCTTTGGGTAAACATGGCATAGAACAATCCCCAAAACCTGGCAACCACAAACACCTTCATATGCTCATGCTCAGTTTCCCACTGAGTAGAGTCCAGTTTGGTGTTACCCAAAATTCTTCAGCTACATTATTTTTATTTCACCGTAGCCAAGTGTCATCCTTTGCTTACTTTCTATGCTGCTGTTGAATACAGGAACATTTTGTACATCTTCTGTGCTTCATGAAAACAAAGACAACCCATTGTATTTAAAGTTCCAGGACCACAAGCCTCTCCAGAAGGATGTTGTTCTGGAAGATCAAAATTGATGTGATTCTTTTTTCAGGTGCAGAAGAGATGTATGTGATAGTTGTTGTAAAGTCATCTTAGCAAATGCCTATGTGGAGTGGCACTGATGAAAACACAAAATGTTGAGCAATGAACTGCTTCATATAGAAATTGTCAGGGAGATTCCTGTACTTACAGGGAGGTGGACTGGGTGTTCTAATAGATCTTTTCCATCTCAGTTTTTTATCACTATGATTCATGCTAATTGTTAGTGGAAAATCACTTAGTGTCAGTAATAGAGGTGACACATTCATTTCTTTTTAGTCATTGCACATATATTGTATTTGAGGTGATAGAAAGGGTTTATTTCTCTTCTCCTTTCCCCAGAAGCATGTTTGGATTTCATGCATAAATAGTCTTTCTTCCCTTAATCTGATTCACATGACAGTATGCATTTGCATAAAGCTTCTTCTTGGGAAAACCATTCAAACCTTTATCTAGAGAGAGTAGACATGTCGCAGAATTATGTCCTGGTATACAAGACAGCTTCTTTTTTTCCTTTTTCTGATGCATTATTTGTAGCATATGCTAATTTATTATAATGGTTATTAAGAGCACAAGGCCTTGCCTTTCAGCTTTCCACATATCCCCAGGCATCCCCTAACATTCCTCTCTTTTCAGCTGTGCTCATCTTCTCCTGTCAGGAAGTAAAGAACAATTAACACATACTGCAGATAAAAATGTTCACACCAACCCACTCATTATTTGTTGTGGCTACAGCTCCAGTGTGCTTTGTGCTTTCTAGACATCCAAGCTGGATCTGCCCCAGCAAGAACATGAATTTTAACATACCATAAAGCTGCTCATTTTTACCACACCACCTGTGGCTGGTCAAAGGGACAGTACTATAGTATAGCTGAAAATCTATTTCTGGGCCAAATAAAGCTCAGATTCAGACCTGACACTTTAAATTCCTCCAATGCCTGCTTCAGAGACACTCACCGGTTGAGAGAGGATGAGGAGTTAAGTCAGGATAGCAATTGCTCCTGCTGGCTTTCTGCCATCTTGAGTTAAAGTCTTACACCTGGTTGCTCTGCTCAGGATCTCTCTAGAACACGAGTGAGGAACAGTCTCCCTTTTCACTTAAAACACAGCCAGTCCCCTAACCAAGAAGGAAGGTCTCAAATTCCCATCCTACCTCCTTCCTAAATTCTATGTGGAAAAGCTCCTATCTGAGGAGGAATCCATACTCTAAAGTTTTGAGCTGTTGTTAAGTCAACAGAGCCATACTGAGAAAAAGCTAAGGTCTGACTCTCTGGCTTGCATTTTGGCCCCTTTTTAGTTCTGGGATTCATTCTGATATGTAATGTAATGCATAAATTGCAAGATGTAATGCATGTAATAACTCATATCTGTGGCTATGTAGCTGAAGGAAAAGAGACCCAGTCTATGCAATCTCAGCTTTGAAAAAGTGTAACCTAGAAATATGTTAGTAATCTAGATATAAATTTTTATAGATTTTATATATGGATTATAAACATTATTATAATCTTTCTAATCCAGATATATTTAACAGATTTTAATAGATGATAAAATTGCACTGGACATTTTTATGAAATCAAGTTTCTTTTGTCCTAGTCCTGAAATAAAAGTTTGAATAGATCCAGTGTCAATATTTTCCCTCTTGATAAAAAATGATATGTTTTAGAAAGCCAAAATCTATAAAAAGTTTACTATAATGTTACTTTCCATAGAGTCACAAAGTCTCAAGTTGAAACAATCTTTACTATCATAACTGAATTTTAAAGTATCTTTGTGGGAAAGAGAAGTATAAATAGATGTGATATCAACATTAACTCAACAGTTAGAGTAACAATAGATTAACATCTATTGAACAGAGAGCTGGATTTGTATCAAAGGGTTTGGTGACACCATAGACCACAAAAGCACCAGCCAATTTTCCTCTCCTATGGCAAGATTTTGAATTTGCAGCTTAGCTGAAGAAGCTCTCAGTGAACTAACAGAGCAAAAAACATAGCAAGACATCACTGTGTGCTTGTTTAGATACCCACTTAAAATAATTTCAAAGAAGTCAGAGGAATGCCAGTAGGTACTTTCCAATTGAATGAATGACGGTAACAGTCTAAATCTAATTGTTGGTATATTAAAATCACAGTTATTTTTACCTAATTCCACTGAGATAATTTGTAATGATAATGGCTTCCAGAATGGGACCCTGTATTTTCAAAATATTGCAACAGTCCCTAATTATCAGGCATATTTAAAGTGCACGCAAACTAAAGAAGGTGAAGGTTAAATATTATGTTCAAAATTTAGTAATTGGGAAATGAATCCTTTAAAGAGGTAGAAATGATTCCGTGGGAGGCAAGTACTGTCCTTCTGCTTCTCAGTGCAACCTTTCCATTTCTAATTATTCCATGTTGGGTAATATGTTACAGAAAGGAGAAATGATTATGGATGTATAGATCCAATTAATTTCTAAAGGAAAGTGTTCTGTCTCATCTCCAAACAAGTGCTTTCTTAAGGAAAGGAGAAGTAAGGTATGTCAGAGAATGCCTCCACTATGAACAAATAGCCATTGAGGTTTACAAATCAGAATCACTTTGGTATCCAATGTATTGCAGTATTGAGTTATACCTCCTTGGCTGATGGAGATAACCATCCACAGGAGGAGTTTGTTTTGCTTTTTGGATCTGGAGAGCTGTCATTACAACAAAACAACTGCAATGCTGTGCTGCTTGGACTGAGCTAATGGCCTGTCTGTAATCAAGTTATTCTGCTCAGCAAAGAGGGACACAAAATGTTTTGAAAGAGAAAACGCTCACAGTACTTACTGCACTCCCAGCTGCCTCACACCCCATGGGTCTTCCACTCTTTGATGAACCTGGGGTTTAATTTGATGCCTGCAGTGTATTCTGTCATAAACTTGCATGTACAGCATGCACAGATTCCGCAGCAAGGAGTTCTTTCCTTCTGCATCCTCACAGTCTTGTTCTAACTTAATCCAAGTCCTAAAGAGAAATTAGACGAAGGAAAAACTCACCAAAGAGGGAGTTCCTGATAAGCATACCTCAAATATATTCCTTTGTATCTACTATAGCAAATCATGTACCCAGCCCTTATGTATAAAGAGCTCTCTTATGATAAGCAAGCACCTTTCCCACAGGAGCAGGGGCTCCACTAAGGCTCAGGCTGGATTTCACCCCATCCACTCAAATTCCTCTCCTGTTTTTATTATCACTACAGCCTGCACAACTGAAGAAGATGATCTACAGGAGTGAGAGTGCCAGTGAAAGGAAGAGCTACTGGAGGTAACCCCTTTTTCTTCCGAAAAGCTGGATCTGCAAAAGATCTGTACCATATCTATTTAAGAAGTGTGTATGTCTTCATGTTGTTTTAAGTCTGTCCACAATGCTTATTCCACAGGGTAACATCCTGTGGCTGAGAGATGTCTAGGAAATGGTGACAACACCAGGCTATCCCTCAACTTTTTTTTTTTAATCACAGTATATTCCTCTCAATCCTTTGTTGTTAATTTATTGTCAAATTCGGAAAAAAAAAAAAAAAGTACCTGAACCAAAAGACAAGATTCTCAGTTTAAGAGTCCTAAGGCAGGAAGGTCTTGGAGAGTGGCATGCACAAGGGCAAACATTGACAAAAAGGGGTGGAGGGACCACCTTTACTCTTTGCACTGTTCTGACTTCATTGTTCCAGTTCTTCATGCAAAATCACTGCTGTGGAAAGATTCTTCTGCTTTTGGTGTGCTGTGGTTAACAGAAGAAAAGTGTGGCAATGAAAGGCATTTATCTCCCACTGCCCAACATGCTTTCCCACTCTGTCTTCATATCCAAACCTACTCCAAATTGCTTTTTTATTCCTTCTGTCCTGTACATGAAGTCAAACTGAGATTAATTTTCAGAATGGTTTGAGTAACCACTGCTCTAAAGCATAGAGGGACCAAAATAATAGTACAGCTCTTAAGAGACTTGCCTGTTCTTTGCTAAAGGGGTGATAGGGAACAACAGGGTCTGGACAGCTGAAATGAGCAATGTGACAGTGAGCCTCAGAAATCTATTTGTGGATAAGCCCCTACAGCCATAAAATAATGGCAACACCGTAGCAATCCCTAAAGATTGATCTCACAAGTACAAATCTACTATACCAAGAGAGCACTGTCTCCTGAGACTGCTTGTGCTGCAAGAGGGCATTGAACTCTGGTGTACCTGTCCTAGAGGTTTCCCAAAGCTAACAAAATGTAACTAACAAAAATCACATAAACCTGCGTTTGTGACCGAAGTTAGGACTTGGGTTTCTGGGTTGAAGAACGGTTGCTTTTTCTTGCTAAGATCACTAACAGCTGAAGAAATCCAACAACGTTTTTTTATGAGCCCCTTAGAGCTTGTAAAATGGTATTAGCTATTATCATAGTTAATATTGCTTGATGTGGAAATATAAACTTGGGAAAACAAGTACTAAAACATTTGTGTAAATGTAACTCCTGACATTTATGTTTATTAATTTGCTTTTGAGCAGTTTTCCATATTAAAAAAAGAGATTGATTACTCTGAACGTGGAAAATACCACGTTGTCACTAATATATATTATTTAATTACAAAAGCAATAGAAAGAGGGTTTTAATATAATTCTCCTGCACAATTCAGTATGCAGGATTTTTTTAAAATCTAACGCACACTTGACAAGAAACAGATATGTTGAAAGACATCAATAAATGTACTGATTAAGACTTTGAGACACTTACTTTAAAAATGTGGAGCAAAGGCTGACTATTCTAATTACCTGAGACATGTGACGTCAATTGTCCTTAATACTTTAAGAATGACAGATTAGAAATGAATAGATATTAGGGCTTTCTGCTCTGTTGCTTGCTGAAGAATCTGTTGAAGGACAAGTACTTGGATATGTCACCTTGTGTCTGGGGAGGGGAGGGGAGTAGAGAAGAATGAAAGGATGATGATGGGAAAAGTGAGATTATCTCAGTGTTGCATTCTTTCCTAAATCCAAAGTGGGAACTGATTCTTAAAGAGAAAACAATGCTTTGTGTTTTTCAATTAGAAATACTTAAAGGTGTATGCGGCTAAGCTTCAAGCATTAGCTTCCCTTAGCAGCTCTGAAGAGTGCTAAGAAACTGCACAGACCATATTTCCCATATAAATAAAAAGAGGAATTAATTATGTTTAGTGCTGGACATGGCCTGCTGACCAAAGAGTTTGCTGCTTTCAAAGGGCTCAAAATGAAAATTAAACTTCTAATGGTGTTAATACAAACTCTCAGTTAAACCAAGATTATGTCTTTTTCTAAGCAAGTCTATGAGCATCTTTCCCCCCAGACAGAAAAGGCATACCCAGGATCCAGCTCTGCTCCTCTACAGCCAGGAGGAGTATAGATTGAGGTTAGCAAGTGCAATGTTTCCTTAAAGTAATGATTTTTACACAGAAACAGACTATGAGAATCACACTGTGATGCCAGAATTAGCACAGCCGTCTACTGTACATCTCCTGCCTAAAATAAGCCATAATTTGCTTCTTCCAGCACATAAGCCTGGTGGGGATCCTTTGCCATTGGATTCTATACCCAGCCGCAGGAGGCAAAGGACACCCAGCAGAAGTCACACAACAAACTCAGCGAGTGCTACGGCCAGGAGGTTCTCTCAGGACAGCCACCACAAACAGCTGCAGCCCAAGGCAGGGCACAGGGTGACAGCCTCCCCTGGCAGAGGCAACGGGGCTGGAATCTGACCTGGATAACACAGCTCGGTCTCTGCCCCTCTGTGACAGACAAGGGGTGTGCATTCTCCCAGTGACCAGTGCTCATGCATGAACGCCTTCCTGCCACTCTTGACACAACCTCATTGAAACTGCTGACCTCACCAGGGAGGTATTTATGACATGTTCATTACCCAGAGTCTGAACACCTGGAAGAGAAAAGGCTCTGGATTCTATTACCAATCCTCTAAGTTGTCCTGTTTCGCTAATTACTTTTAATTCTCATTTATTATAAATAATATAGCCACTTCTCTGCCCATCTTTCTTTCTGCACAAAATGCAATGTATAAAAATTATTTATTCTAAGTCACCAAGTAAGAAAATGAGACAATATTTCTCTTCAATTCTATGCTTTTAAAGCAAAGAAAATTGCTTAAATTTTTTTTATGCATAAAATAATAATGTTTGTTTATGTAAATACATATTGGCATCTATTGTCCCCAACACAATTAGCATTCCTTTTCCAGAGAATAATTCACTGGCAGTGGCTGAATACAAAATGCAGCTCTTGAGAAGAAAGATTTCAACAAACACAAATACCAGTACCCTTAAATATATCATAATGGTTAAGAAAACCAACAAAACCAATAAACTACTGATAGCCATTATAAATTCAGCAGTGGATCAGCTAATATCACAGTCCTCTGAATACATTAACCCTGACTGAAATTTAGCAACATAACCTTCCTTGTAGATACAAAATGTCAGTTAAATAGAGGACTGTTCTCCTGTGGCTTTCCCAGAATTTAACCCAAGATGAACTCTAGCTACATCTATGCTGCTGTCTGGTACCCACAATGCACATGAGACTGATGATAAATGTTTCTGTAAGGGTTTTTTTGCAGAAAGACCAAACCCTTTAGAGTGAAGAAAGTAAAGCAGCAGACAAATGGCACACGTTTTAAAGCCTCAGAACATGGACTCCTTATTTCCCCAGTGATAGGCTTAGAAAAAATTGTGGGTAGCAGCAGTGCCCAAAATTCTTATTAAAAATTTGAAGTGGTTTTGCTCAGAAATACTTCTTAGAAGTACTCAAAAAGAGAACTCAACATTATTTGATGGTGTTCTTCTGAAAGCATAAAAGGTAAGAGAGAAAGGTGAAATTTAAAGGCAACAGGACAGTATCTTCTGCCAGGACCAGAAAATAAATTGAAAGCAGCCCTATAAAACACTTATTTATAACATGAAATCATTGAAGAGGTAGAAATTGAACTAGAGAATTGACTTCTCATCCTCTCACTTTACTCCCTCCTTGAAAACAATCATAAAAATGTGAAGCAATTTGGCACAATGGCCCGTTCTCCTGTTAGACTCCTTAATACATTTAATTTCTTCTAGTTATTCTGAAGTTCTTAATTAGACAAACAATTACATGATTCATGCGCATCTAGGACAGAAAATATTTTAGTGAATTATTACAGTTCTTGACTCTACATTCTTGTGGTCAAAACCACAGGGAGACAGGACAAATTTACCTATAAAACCACGCAAAGCTTTTCATTTTCCCTAAGGTATAAGAACTAGATGTAATTAAAATTAAACTCTTACTTTAATGAAAATATTTTCATACTACTTCTGTCCAGGTGTGACAAACTCACCCATATTTCAAGGACTTGGTGAAATAAGAGTTCTGAGACAACTGAAAGACTGTAAGAGACAGAGACTACAGAAAACAAGGTAACTTCCTGCAAAAAAAACATCACAATGTGACTTTTCAGAAAGAAAATTCCCAGCTTGAAGATGTTCCAAAGCACATTTTCTCCCAAGAGTGCTTGGTAAAGGGAAGAAAATACAAAAGGAAGAATATTGCAAAAGAGAAGAAAATCCACCTAACTCGAACCACAGCCATTTTCTTGTCTGATAAGTCCCAAGCCAGGTGGCTAGAATAAAAGATTGGTGTTTATCTGTTAGAAGATCTGGGGCTGATTCATTCTATTTACTGCAGCAAGCTCACCTGTGAGGCTTTATAGATGCCTTGGGGGTAAAAAGCTCAGCAGGGGTTAACTTCTTGTTGTGGGGGAAGAAAGGAGAGGTGAGATTTGAGTTTTAATTGGTGGAAGGGGAAATCCCCTCTCTTTTATATACCTGGTTCAGAGAAAAACACAGGTAATAACAATAATAAAAAAAAGTCTTAGGAGCACAATTCTTTAAGCATTTCCAGGTCATCTTGGAGGGGGGGAAGGGAGTTATCATTATAAAAGCTTCCCCTGAGGTTCAGTAGGGAACTCAGTTGTGAGATTTGTAGGAAGCTTTAACTTGTGTGAAATCTGTGAGTTTATTGCTTGAATTAACTCTGAGCTGAGGAATAAAGTATACTTAATGCACTTTTAAAGCACTGTTTTACTTCCCCATTTGTTTCTATAAAAGGATGCTTTCCAAGCTGATCTGTGCAGTATATTTGTCCCTCTGGGTTTTACCTTAATTTGCTTGCTTGATCCAGAACTAAGAGACTTGAATACCTGGTCCCAGAAGTTATTCTTTCATTGTGTACCACTGTCATTTCTGTCTTGCTTTCCATTTAAAAGATTCCAGCTTCCAGGACTGCAGTTTTCAGGTACTAGAAACCTAAAATGGCAATGCTTCTCTCCTGCGTAGTAACTGCAAAGATAAAAGAAATCAGTTAAAAAACCCAGAACAGTTGTTTTAGTCCAATTTGCAGTTGATGTGGGATAAAACACCAGCCTGTTTAAAACTAAAAGTGAGAACAAAAACCCCCTAACTTTTACATATGGCTGCAAGGCAGTTTATTTTGAGCAGGAACCCTCTAAAGCTATTCCAAAACTACTTGCTTGTAGAGGCAAGGTTTTTCTATAGCAGCAGGCATGTGGAGGTGTGTTGCCCTTTGCTCGGCAGGGTTAGCAGATCTGCTCCCACCAGCCCCCTTGCCTGTCAGCTGCCAAAGGCCACCTCAAGTAGCACAGCAGCAAAAAAACACACTTCACCCCTTTTTTGTGTCAGAAAGATATTTTCATGGCCTCCCCCATGGGTTTCCTCAGTGTATGAAAAAATGCCTGAGGAATTATATTACACTTTTTAGACAATTTGATCAGGAAGCACTGCTGGCAAATAATATAATGTTTCATATTTACAAATTTGCCTTTTTTTTGTCTTTCTGTGTCTAGCTCCTTGTTCGGGTAGCCAGCTACCTACTTTGTCTACCCTTAGAGCTGGTCCTGACAAATACTGTGTTGTATTCCAACTGAGCCTATAAAGTTTACAGAATAACAGGGCTGCTTTAATGTGGCAAATGGAAAGGCCGGAGACAGGCCAAAATTACTTTGACATTTAAAAAGTCCAGCCTCTTTTGCTTTACACTTTCACTTAGTGCTGGAGTTGAGAAACATTTTGAAAAATAAAGCTTTACAATTTCCTGTTAATTCTAACTATTTCATACTGTGTAATTAATTGTGCCCTTGCTCTTTCAATCCTCTCAAACTGAAATTAATAACATTGTGGGAAGCCATGACTTTTACAGAGATGTGTAGTTTAAAAACTGAAGAAACGCTGACTCAAAGAACAAAGTGAGAGAAACATAATAAACATTCTGTCTGGGGGAGAAATGAGCTTGTTTCTTCATCTCTTGTCAGCTGAAGTCTCTGAATTCCCCCACCTCAGTACATCTCATGAAGTGAGTAATTTGGAGTAGATGACTTGTGGATGTACAGTATGGCAAAATCTTCCACAGCACTTCATCCGTTATGCTCTGTCAGCTGCACACAACACAAAAAAATACCCAGTTTAACCTTCCATCCCATTTAATATCCAGGATCAATTGATGATGGGAAATTGGGGACTGAAGTTATTTGTCCTTCATCCATTTATTCGTTTCACAGAGTAGAAGTAGCTGCATGCTGTTGATTTTACTGCTCTGTAACTCAAAAAGGAAATACTACTGTGTTTTTTTCTCACTATTTTCCTGCACTCTGGCCTGACCTGAGCCACACAACTGCTGGCAACAGCACAAGGCCAAGCAGTGGGATAAAACACAGATGGCAAATGTTCTTGCCACTGCTTCCCACACAGGTCCTGCTGCATCTCTCCCTTGGGGTCATTCTGTCCCTGGAGGCACATGCCATCCTGTCCATAAAGGAAACAAAGAAAGTTCATTGCTGCAGTGTCAGATCAAAACCAATATAGATCCTAAAGGTCAGAAGGGTAATAACTCCACAGAGCTGGCCAAGATAACTTCATCACACTGTAGAAGGATTGAACATATAATCCTAATTTAAATGCCTGGTGTCTGGCCCTTTTATTCCCTAGTGAAGCAAACAAGAAAACAAAAATAAAGGATCCTGAAGTTTCTGGGGTATGTGGGCATTCCAATAAAATTTCATAGAGTCAAAAATAAACCTTGCATGAAGAAGGTCCAAAAGAAGTTTGGAATTTTACCACCAGCTCTGGTGGCAGCAGCTGTGCCTGCACTGGGGCTGGACAAGACAGAGTTTTTTTTTCCCAGGGCCAACTAAGCAAGGACTAGGAGTCCAACCAGCTTCCTCCAAGAAGAGCTGCACCCAGCGCTTCCCACCAAGAGGACTGGAACGTGGCCACTGCTTTCAGGGATATTGGCATGGGGTCTTTCGTGTTGGCGGCTGCTTTGCTGGTCCCTGTGGATTACGGTGCTGTCCAGGGATGAGATCTGAAGTGATTTTTCCTGGCATCTGCCTGTGTGTTGAGTCAAGCCCACCTGCAAATTTAAAGTAGAAAAATGAAGCTAATAATCAAACAAATCCTTTCAAAGTGACTGAAGGGCAGGAAGAAGGAATAATGGCAAAATGAATAACAGAAAAGGGAAGAAAAGTTTGGCTGAGATCTAAAAAAGACATGTGAGATGAGTATTTGCTGTGCCTGGTAGTTAAGCATCTGGCAACCTGCATGGGTTTATTTCCCTGAGTTAGGTACTGATGATCTCTACATAGGGTAGGGCCTTAATGCTCAGAAAAATTAAAGCAGTTAAAAGTAGCTTCTCAGCCCCTGGAAATAAAGTCCTAAAAGTTCTCTGGAGGAGAGAACTGCTCAACCTAAAGTAGTAAAGGGCCAGTATTTCTAACTTGTGATGAGAACAAATTCTATCAGAGCAATTCTCACTCTTTTCTTCATCTACAAATATACTGGACACCCTTATATTGATTAGAACATGCCTGTGGAGAACACTAATTTGGCTTTAACCAAAGCTGTTCCCAAATTACAGGTAAAAAGAAATGCAGAAAGAAATGTTGATCTGCCTCCTGCATTTGTTGTTCCTTAAATGAGGCATGAGCCTGCTTTTAATGAGTAACTTGAGAGACAAAAGGAAGGCTCTTAGCTTAGGTGGGAAATTCCCAGGAATTCAGGAGCAAAATCCTGCCTTTCAGTGAGGTGAAACTATTTTCTGAATTTTTATCCCAAGATAGAGCAACTCATACATTAAAAATCTGTATTGCTTAGGGAATCAAATCACTTGCTACAGCTCCTGTAGTAATTTCCCAAAACAAAACATATTTGTCTTTTCTGTTAAAAAAAATTTAAGATACTCAACACACATGCCATGCTAAGGGAATTCTTGCTTGCAACAACAGTAAGAACATAATGAGATCCAAAATACTCCACGTGGTAACATACAGGAAAACAAAACCTCTGTTCCTCAGATATTTCAATCTTTTGGACAGATAAATAGCTAACACAAATCATTATGCTTTAGCTCACTGATTATCTGCTCAGAGACCTCCTAAACTCCACGCACCAGGAATCCATTTATGCATTGCACCAGCTTTTGCTGTTTCCTTTTTCCCTGTGTTTCAGAATGATCCTATTTATTTTAATTCCTACATGTCTTTTCTAAAAATCATTCTGTGGGAATATTCTGGGGCAGGATGTACCTGCTACTTTGAACCAGAGGTTGAACAGACAATGCCCCATTGCCATTGTCTTGGCATTATCTCACTATCATTACAGAAAAAAAATAGGTTTAGTGCATGTCTAATAATCATTGCTACTGTTAATAATACTATTAACATATTTTTATGTCAGCTATTGTTATTTATACCATCTTAATAAAATCTTAACGTGTAAATTTATAAAGTAAAAATGTATAGTGTTAGACAGCACTCCCTTTCAGCTTAATTTCTCTTGGTTGCTCTTTACCTACAGGAGGAACACAGCCAAAGGATATGGCATTGGCAAAAAAATATTTCTGAGGTGGGAAAATCCTTCCGCATTGGGAGAATTTTTTGCCACAGCTGGCTGTAGTAGAAGACACCTGAACCCAAACAGCTAGGCCATTGAAGGAAGTCTGGTATTTCAAACTTTTTCAGTAGAGTTATGTGTTAGTTTCTGATCTGCAGGATATTTATGGGCTCAAATCTACACACACAAGTTGTTTTCATCACAGGAGTACCACGGGAAGCATGTGCAGGAACGTTTCAACAGAGTCACTTTTTACACTGCCTTGTAGCTTCTCTCATTTTCTGATGAGCCAGATGAGGGTAAGCACCTTCCCATCTTGCTTCTCATGAAAATGATATTCCAAGGCAGTAAGTCTTAACTTCTTTAACCTTTTTTTACTTTTTTTAACTTTTTTATTTTTTAAATTTTTTTTTTATGTGAAAACCTGAAAACCCTTTTTGGGGAAAAAGGGGATCAGGCTGAAACCTGTTAACAGTAACGCTGTTTTTCACAGGACTTTTTGCAGAGTCCTTCTCTCTTCTCCTTCCAGACTGTCTCAGACCATGGGTTGAAAAACACTGCTGTGAAGTTGGTTTCCAAATGACAACATAAAGCAATGAAACAGAAATCCCTCTGGCACTACTGTACTATATTAGAATATAGAATATAGAACTATATAGAATATAGAACTACAGGGAAAAAGGATGTTTCATCTAAGGAAAAGGTAAAGTTGTTTCATAGGGACATAACCTCATATTTTTTCAGAAAGTATATTTGAGTCTTAATCAATTAGGCAATTTAAAAGCCTGTAATGAATTAAAGATATGATTTCTTTGTGGTTGCATAATGGTTGGAAAATCGATTTCTTAGAGACAAGACAGCAAATGCTTAACCTGGGTTACTGTGCTGTGTTCTCTGACAATCTTCAGGTGAGATTGAGTTTTTGAAGCAATTTTACTTTTTGCTGTGCTGTTCTTTAGATGTGAGAATCAAAGTTGTGCAGTCCTAAAGTTACAGGTGTGAAGATCAACTCCTTGTATCCTTCCTTAGCCATATAAACATGCATCAGATTGAGATGGGTTGGTGACCAGTTTTTTATTTTGGTAATTTTGTTAACAGTCTTACAGGAAAAGTGTTGGAGTTTGAAAGTATGCTTTGGGGATTTAGACACTTTCTTCCTTCTGTGGCATTTTATGGGTAATTTGGTGGTATCTTGGAGCATAAAACAATTGCCTGTGGATTTGTTATGAGCTGGCTATATTATTTCCCTTTGCAAATAAAATTAAAGAAATTAAGGACACAAACTGGGAAATTCCCTGTTTGAAGAATGAGTGTTTTTTTTCAGGGATAGCAAACAGACAAAGTAGATAAAAGCTGATATTAGCATTCCTACATTTAGTTCCTGTGACTATAGACATTATAGACATTAACCTGTTTAATATGAATACTGTCTCACAAAATGCTGGTAATAAGAGCTAAACCGTGCTGTATTTCATTTCATTCCCGCTGATAGCATTTATCAGCAAAATCTGGATTTAAAACCCCCCAAAATATGCAATTTAAGCCTCATCATAACTGGACTGCTGAGGAGGAAAGTGAGGGGATTATCTGGAGCCTGGAAGCACAAATATAAGAGTGTATTGTCAGCATGGGCTATAGGCCTTTTAGCAAATGGTAGTGTAAGCTTCAGCTGACAGGCCTTTTCACAACTGACAGATGAAAATATGAAACTTAAATTCTTCATGACAGATAGCTGTGCTGAATGAAGAGGCCAATGGGACAGTGCTGGGCTGGGGGTGAGAGTGACAAATACAGGCCCAGTGTCTACAGCGCTGGATGGCTCTTTGTAACTCACACACAATTCATTCCTCAAGTCTCTCCCATTTTGCCAAGCAAACTGTTATAGCAGACTGGGTTCTTTTCCCTCTCTTTTTCTTTCAGATCAACGTCTTTTTTTAGTAGATGAATGCCAAGTCTTAAAAGACGGGGGTGGAAGATTAAATTTAATGTGCAGGCATGAAAGATGTTTCCTGGATGCTTCTCCATTGGACTTTTCCACCCAATCTAACACACTGCTATTGTAGAAAGCTTATTCAGTGTGCTTAATCCTCAGTGTTGCAGAGCTTTGACAATTTTTTTTAAAAATTGTATTTTGAAATCACTGCTCCTTTCTGTCAGCACCCCACCTCTCCAGCCCTGCCTGCTCATATGGTTGTATTCCCAACTAGGACGCTCCACGGTGCAGGATGGGATTCCTGGCATGAGATGGAGGTCCTGGGAACAGAGCCCAGCCCAGGCCCTGCCTCCAGATGTGGTTTTGTAGCAGGAAAAGCACAGGCAAAGGTTCTGTGCAGTCAGAGGGGCCCTGTACACCTTTGAGTGCAGAGCCAGCCCCAGTCGTGCTGCCGACCTCTCTCATGGCTCCACCACTGGTGTCTGCAGCACCTGCCTGCAGGGAGGTCACTCCCTGGCCCCAAGAGACTCCTGAGGTACAGCTGCCCCCTGTGGACAGGCAGCTCCTGCAGATGTTGCTACCTCGTCTGCCAACACCAGTTT